ACAAGCTACCCAGGGATGTTCACAGCAACATTTTTTGTAGTAGTAACAAATGGGAACAATGTAAATGCCCATCGATAGGGGACTAGTTAAATAAATTATTATACATCTATGCCATGTAGTCTTTAAAAAGAATGAGGTAGATCTGAGTGACAGGCATGGGAGACATCCAAGATAAACTGGGGGGAAAAAAAAGTCAGTGGAATGTTTAATACGTTTCTATTTATAAAATAAGCTCCTACATATTAAACAACCCTACATTTATGTATATGTTTTAAGGGATGACTTTGTCTTTGAAGTACCAAAAGGTACTTATTGTTCAATTCTTCTGAATCCCACTTCATCCTTGTATTAGACTGCTTGGGCTGCCATAACAAAATACCACAGACTGGGTGGCTTAAGCAACAGAATTTTATTTTCTCACAGTTAAGGAGGTTGGGAAGTCCAAGATCAAGGTTCTGGATGATTCAGTTCCCGTTGAGAGCTCTCTTCCTAGCTTGTAATCAGCCACCCTCTCACTGTGTCCTCACTGGCTGAGTGAGAGATCAAGCTCTTTTGTCTTTTCTTATAAGGACAGTAATCCTATTAAGACAGCCCCACCTTCATGACCTCAAGGAATCCTAAGGACCTCCCAAAGGCCCCATCTCCAAATGCCGTCACATTAAGGGGTAGGGCTTCAACATATGAATTCTGGGAGGACACAATCAGGCCATAACAATCCTCCTTCCAAAAAAATCAGGCTATAAAACTGCTTTATATCTGAATCAATTGAGGCTTTGTAAAATTAGCACATAGGAGAAAATGCCACAAAAGATTAGGATTGGCCGTTCAGATACATGGTGTAGAGACAGTTTAGCCCACTTCCAAGATAGCTGAAATTAATCATCAGAATGAATCCAGAGTATCCAAGCTTGAAGAAACACGTTAGGCCATCATAATATATCATTATGACTCATGCTATGTTTCATTCTAATCCTTTAATGGGATCTGTGGGAATGGCAATCCTCCCAGCTTCCTAAACAAGGGCTGGAGGGAAGAGCTATAATGGGAACTTGTTAAAATGCGAATTGCACAACAGTCCTCCTGAAATGAAAAAGTTAATTGCTAAGAATGGCATTACTAACCGACATTTCCCAGCACCATACTAGTTTGTGTCACTGCTGACGGGGTCACGTGACACTGCAGAACCATGAAGCAGAAATTGAAAATCGTTGTAATCCACATAGAAATGATTCAGAAACCCAACAATAACTAGCAAGGTAGGTAGGCTCTTAAAAAAAACCAAACTTTTTTTTTTTCACTAAATGCAAACAGATGAAATGGAGGAAAATTTATCTTTTGTTAAGACCCTATTACTGACATGGAATAAATCACATCATGAATAAAACATTGTAAGGTGGTCCTTTTCAGATGGCAACAATAATAGTAGAGTTAAATAACACAAATAACGGGGGATTTGCAATGGAAACCCATTTTACTAAAGCTGCCAAAATACTTAAAAGCTTTTGGACCAGTAAGGATAGCCAAATAGAATTATTATAGTCATTAATAAATGGTATATACTAAAAACTTTAAACATTATGTAGAAAAGCTTTTATCCTTAAGAGAGATCTAGTTCTGCAAATCTGGTGAAAATTTCCTCCTTCAAGTTTCAATCCAAATGCAACTGCTCTGAAGAGAATGGCATGAAGTATTAGAAATAATCAACTTAACTCCTAAAAAGGGGTGGGGGGCTTAAATACAAAAACTGTGTAGGTGACACAAATTATAAAGTCAAACAAAATAACTCGTATACCTATCATGGTGTGACTTCTCACAGTTTAATTAAAATCATATTTGCTCAAAGGCACAAAGTAAGGAAAGTTTAACATTTACTTTTACAAGTTCGGTATTCCCATTATTTTCTAGTTCAAGTTTAGTCTAGTGGGAGGCATACAGGGAAGCTCTCAAAAACTAATGATTGTTTAAATTACTTTGTGTAAATTCAAACCTTGTTATTTTAAGCAACTAAGCAAATGAATTAGAATCTCTGAAAGTGTGGCCCAGGCATCAGTATTTTTTTTTTAAGATTTTATTGGGGAATTGGGGAAGGGGAACAGCCAAGTTGTTGTCTTTCAGTCTTAGTTGTGGAGGGCACAGCAAACTCAGCTCCAAGTGCAGTCGCCATCTGGCCGCCCTTCAGCAGCTCGCAGCTGCTCAGCTCAAGGTGCTGTGTTCAAGCTTATTTGCGGGTGGGCATAGCCCACCATTCCTTTGGGAGTCAAACTGGAAACCTTGTTGTTAGGAGCACATGCTTTCACCAGCTAAGCCATCCTGCCACCTATTGGCAGCTCATCTTGGGCGCAGCTCACTGGCACATGTGGGAATCAAACTGGTAACCCTGTTGCTCGGAGCTTGTGCTCTTAACCAACTGAGCCACTTGGTCAGGCCAAAATGTGTTCTTTTAAAAAGTACATTTTAGACCTAGAAGTTCCCTTAGAAGTCATCTAGTATAAGTCTCTTATTTTATAGATGAAGAAATTAAGGTCAAGAGAGTTCCTAACTCAAAGTGACTCAGGTAATTCATTTGGAATCAGGATTAGAGAATCTAGGCTCCCTTTATTTTTCTTGCAAAACACAATTTGTGCAAAAACTTGAATCCTCAAAAGTTTAATTCTAACTTACAACTCTATTTCCATAAAGGATTACTTCTAATGATATTCTAAAAATCTTAAAAAAACAAGCAGTTTTATAGAGTGCTTTCATCTTTCTTCTGAATTATAGCATGCATGCAGCAAGCTGCCCCTACTGTGTTCTGTGGAACACTGATTCCGTTGGATCTTAACAGATGTGGTAAGAAAAAAGGAGAAGGGGTCTAACTCAGGTAAATTGGGAAACAAAATTAAAGGAGATTCTTTACTGAATCATTTCTCATCGTTTTAATATGTTATACTACTAGTACTGAGCATCTCTGGGATGTATGTGCAGAATACAATATGTAGTATTTCTCAAACTTATTTGACTTTGGAACCCTTCCTCAGCTCAGTCCCAAAATCTTCATGTTCTCTGGAACATGTTTTAGCAAATAATACTATGAGGATTCCTAGGATAAATGAATAAAAGATCTGAAATATTCTATTAAGGCCAGAGCAACTTTGATTCAGGTTATAGTTAAAAATGTTTTAAAGAAGTAGGGGAGTACTTTAAAAGGGAAGAAATATATGATTCAAAGGACTGACAATATTTTAGTGTTCCTTTAAAATGTATGAAAGAAGCATAACAAGAATGACTTCAAAATAAGACAAAATTGCATGAAAATCATTTCCAGAATACAACATAAATATTTTTAATGTATTCTCTCCCTTCTAATTTTTACATTTTATTTTACATAAATGTAATTATAGTACACTCAACAGTTTTATATATGTACTTTCAATTAATTTACTCACATTCACGAAACATTTATTTGGTACTTTCTTTATATGTGCAAGGCAATAGGCTGTGGAATCAAAGATAATTACCTTATAGTTTCTACCCTCAAGGAATTTAGGGTAGGGTGGGGATGGTAGAGGTAAGTCCTCAGAGGATGTCAACAAATAATGCAATTCAGTAGGTGCTATTATGCAGAAATTAGAGGGACAGAAGAATGCCCAATAGGGCCAGGACCTTTGTGAAGCTTGAGATGAAACCTGAAGGTTCATCAGAGATTATGTGATGAAGGCAGGAAAGTAGAAAGAAGCAGGAAAGCAATCTACAAGCTGAGTCTTCCTGTGATCAGACAGGTATATATTGTAGAATGGATTGGAAGGGGAAAAGCCTTTTTCATTCCTGCCTTATCCACACACTTCTCTATGAACACATATTTCTAAAATCAGAAAACAAAGTGCGGATGGTGATTTTCAGGGTCTCTAGATCACCATCATCTTCAAGGGTCTAAAATCTTTAGCTAAGGAGGCTCTTTTCAACCTTACCTCCCAACTGGTGTCAGAGCACTCCAACATTTCCCCCTACCCCACATCAAATAACGTGGAGTCAAAGAAATACAAATTTTAAAATAATTCGGTACCATATTCAAACTGGTAATTAATTTTTTAAAAATAATTTTATAGCTAGTGGAATGTAAATTGATACCATTTTTCTAGCGGTGTTTTAAATGAAAATTCCTTAAAAATGTGTATACTCTTTGATCCCTCAATGAACTTCTAGGAATTTAATTAACTTAAGGAAATAAGACCTGCAAAGATGTTCGCAGCAACACTAGATATTAAAGGGGCACATAAAACAGGAAACAACGGAAATACCCAATAACAGGCTAAATTTATGATTAGGTGTACACACTGAATACAAATCCAATCGCTACGAATAATGTTGTAGGTTACTTTAGGACATTAAAAAAAACACATCATGCTTAGGTGGCGAGCACTCCATTTAACCGCACAAGTCTTGAAAAGATCATCCAACATTTACATATGAAGAGGTTTGAAACAAAGAATCTAACAAAGGTCACACAACTAATGAAGCCAGGATTCGAACGGCCATCTGAATCTTGAGCACAGGAGCCTTTCCACGCCCACACTGCTTCCTAGCTTTTGTGCAGAACGGGGGTAGATCTACCTCGAAGAGTTACTGTGAGAATTAAATGAAACAATAAACAGAAAGCTCCTGGAACACAGTGGACATGCAATACTCGGAAGCTGCTAAGTAACTCTCTCAAAGTCACACAATCCGTGGTGAAACCAGGATTTACACCGAGACTGGGATCTTGTATTCCCGGGAGAGCTTTGGAATTCAAGATTTTCTTGGCTTCGACTCCTAACGCAGTCAGGATGGCCTTTCCCTTTGCTCCATAAAGCGCACCTCAGAGGTCAGGGAGCACATAACAGATCTCTTCAGAGAGAAGGGAACGCGCGAGAGTTGTTTTTGCAAGATTTAAGTTTCGTCGGCTTTTCTCACCTCCCAGCCTCTACAGCTCCGAGAGCTGTCTTCGCTCCGTCACCCAATTTCCGGAGCGGAAGTGACGTCTATACTCACGCGCCGGAAGTGGGTTTGTGGAGTGAGACCGAGAAGTCGCGGATGCTTGTGGGTCAGAGTCTCTGCTAAGCCTTAGAGTAAAGGGCTTTGCTGCTTTGGTAGGCAGCCTTTGCCATGACAGCCCAGGGGAGTCTGGTGGCCAACCGAGGCCGGCGCTTTAAGTGGGCCATTGAACTGAGCGGGCCTGGAGGAGGCAGCAGGTGAGGAGCCTGGGCGTAGCTCATCAGAGCCTCCCCCGCAGGATTGTCCCCTGTAGAGCCTGAAAAGGATGGTGGCACAAAGTCGGCCCCTGGGGAGCTAGCGGCTTCTCTTGCCGTGGAGGTTTCTATGCCCCAAGGATGCTTATTGCAGTCCTCCCATTAGGCAGGGGTCTGACGAACCCATAGGAGGGCTTGCTCTCATCTGGTTGGTGCATCAGAGGGTCTTGACTCCCATGATTAATAGAACAGGAAATGTGGGATATGAAATGTGGGAGTCTGCAGCCTTAGTTTCCTGGTTTGGTTCTTTAGGGGCCGAAGTGACCGGGGCGGTGGCCAGGGAGACTCGCTGTACCCAGTCGGTTACTTGGACAAGCAAGTGCCTGATACCAGCGTGCAAGAGACAGACCGGATCCTGGTGGAGAAGGTACAGAGGTATAGATATCACGGTGGTCTTTGGGCCAATCCTGACCAACACACCAACCCTCCTCTCCCAGGCAGCATATGTGTATCTTACTGTAGATGGCCCGTATCCCAAATATGTGGTAGCTAAACTACTTGAGATTAACGTTACAGTAGTTTATGTATGAGCTCCAAAAGTGCTGAATAATTGGAAAAAGAAGATATTTGGAACATAAGCATTAGAAAGTAGTTTGAAAATGATCTGTCAGTGGCAACACCTTTCGGTTGAAGTCATCCTTTTCTACTCTTAATTCCCTTCTACCACACAACCAATCTGTCAGGATATTCTGTTTGCTTTACCTTCAAATCAAGTCGTAAGATTCAGAATCTTACTACTTCTTATTACCTTCACCTATAATCCTGGTGTAATCCACTACCATCCTTCACCCAGATTTCTACAATAGACTAAAAAAAAACCCAAAACAAACAAACAAAAAATCAGTTCTTTTGAGGTATACATTATGTACAATAAACTGCATTTATTTAAATTAGTTTCTCAACCTCAGTACTATTGATATTTTGGGCAGAATGATGCTTGATTCTTTGTTGTGGGAGCTGTAGTGTGCATTGTAGAACGTGTAGCAGCATCCCTGGCCTCTACCCATCACATGCCAAAAGTGCCCCTTCCCAGTTGTAACAACCAAAAATGTCTCCAACATTACCAAATGTCTCCAGGGAGGCAAATTGCCCTCAGTTGAGACCCATTGATTTAAAGAGTACAATCTGATGAGCTTTAATAGTGGTGTACCACCATGAAACCCCAAAGAACTTGAAGAACATTTTCTTCATCCCTAAAAGATTCCTTGTGTCCGTCTCTGCAGTAGACTTCTAACTGGTCTCATTACTTCTACCTTGTACAGCAGCCAGAATGATCCTTTTAATCATTCCTACTCAAAACCCTTCTGTTGCTTATTTCACTTAGTGAAAAAGCCAGTGTCTTTATAATATTCTACATAACTCTACATTGATTGAGCCCCTTGTAACATCTTTTTCATCTCCTTCCCCTTTGCTCACTCCAGTCTAGTCTGGTCTCCTTGCTGCTCCTTAAATATGCCAGGCAAGCTCCCCACTTCAGGCGTTTTGTACTTCTTCCCTCTTCCTGGAATACTCTTCCCCTTTGTGACTTGTTCTCTCATCTCGTTAGGTCTCAAATCTTACCTTCTTAGTGACGCCTACCCTCATGGCACTCACTATTCTGTTTTCCTACCTTTTATTTCTCCATGTCATTCATATGTATGATATAGTTTACTTATTTTATTGTCTTCATTCTTCTAAGTTCCATGAGAGCAGAATTTTGTGTCTCAAGTGCCTAGAACAGTGCTTGCACTTTCTTTCCTCTCAGCCTTAATAGTGTTCAATACTAAATGATCTTTGTTTCATGAAATTCAAGTGATTGTCACAACATGAAAATGACAGAGCTGATTTCAATTCTTTACTTGATAAGTATCATTTTT